TTCTTAAGGAAAGTGCTGACGTTCAAAAAAAAAACTGGACTATAGGGATTTAAAAAATAATGTAATAAATGTAGCAAAAGTAAAAACTTAGGAAAACTTGCAATGTTATTTTTAATATTGCAAAATTTTTAAAAATTCAGCCGGTTAGGTTATGTTTTAATACGCTTGAATCACGGAAAAAAGCTGCGGCATATCACAATTAAGAAAAGAATAAAAAATGGATGTAAAAAAACATCTAGAAAAATTATTAAAATAGCATAGTCGACAAAAAAAGCAATAAAGAATTCAAATACAGGCGAACGTTGAGTGAATTGAAAATATCATAAAAGGTAGACAGGAACCAAAATGCAATCAAATTAATTAGATTAGATAAAACATTTTCGTTCCCAAAGCTTCAGAATTTAATCTGTGTTAATTGTATTCAACCATTACTTAAAACAGGTTAAAATATATGATGGCTTCAAAATCACTTGGGGAGTTCAAAGTTTAGACAAAAAATCTAAATTTGTATTACCACGGATGAAGCTGTCCCTACTGTTAGAAAATTGCAGCGTTCTAACAAAAAATAATTTTGATTGAGAAAGCAGCAGAATTTCGTTAAATAATAATAACCTGATCATCATAATACCATCCTGATAATAACCTGATCATAATAATAACCTGAGGCTTTCGAACTCTACTCTCTGCCCTCATCAACCTTCAGAGCTACTTTATCAATTCTTTCCAGATAGCTTTGTAATTTGATTTTGCGTTTCTCACTTTTTGGATACTTGGGTAATTCATTCTAGCATTGTATTCATACTGATATTCTTTTTAAAATGAAATTTCAAAATTATGGAAAACATAAATCATTTGAAACCTTAAATTTATACACATTTCGTTCATCTTAAATACATTATGATTTGATTACCGTACATTTCAATGGTGCTTGATATATTTGTGACCAACTCATAGGATTTTTCGAATAGGATTTTAGGAAATGGAAGCTCAAATACCATAAAACTTCGTAATGCTATTTTTTCCAAAAGTAAAGAAAAAGACATTGTAATGCCTAATGCGTCTAACTTTTCTAAAAATCTTTTTATCTTGGGCACCATATAGGTGCGATTATCAATATAAGCCTAACAACACAAGAATGATATATAGCTCATGGGTTAAATTACATCAACGTGGAAGTGGGATTTGCACCCGAGATCTTCCTGGCATGAGCTCAACTCCTTAAACACCATACAACAGGTCTACTTATTTCTTTGCTTTATTTTTGATGGTCTAGTTTTCATACTAGTTTCGTCATTCTAGTTAACAATCTCTTATAATGCACTATGATGAGAATTTCAGTTGAGAGCACGTTTTAGTCATATATTTGAGAGATCGAATTTCATCACAAATTACGAGATTTCGTAAAAAATTGATTTTCAAAATCAACAAAATACAACCCAAGGATTGCTGAATTGTCAAAAGTGAGAGTTTTTCTTTCTGAGAGTGTAAACATTATAATAAATTTCAGAATTGGGATACAAAACGTTTGCAAGTCCTTTAACTCCAACAAAAACTCGTAAAATATACGAAATCAAAAATGGAAGAAGAAAAAAAAGAATTTGCAAGCAAATTTGCCAAAAATGGAAGTTGTATGCTAGAACTAAAAAGAAAAATTAAGAACGTACGATGCTACACAATAACAATATTTTACCTACAATATTAAATTAAGCATACAGTCGGACCTCTATTTAACGAACTTGCTAAATTCCGATTAGTTCATTATATGGAAAATTTGCTAAATAGAAAATCACCCTTTGAAACAATTAAACAACACAAAACAGGTTTTAAATTCATAAGCACTTGACATTATTAAAATAGCAATTAATACACTTTTATCTCGTAAACGGGGAAGCCCGGACAAGATGGACCGCTTAAGGAAACTTGGTTTAAAAAATAGTAAACTAGAGCAAGTTTAAATCTTTTATATTGTAAACATTTGATGGGAACATTACTCTTACATATCTCATACAGAAAATAAATAAATAATAAAGTTCAATAATAATAACTTAACATAAACAAAAATAACATTGTCCCATCTTGCCCGGGCTACCCGGGAAAGGTGGGACACATAATTATATTATATACACAGAAATTAATATCTGAATAAGAGAATAATCGACAAAAAAACGTTCCTAAACATCACAGTTACTGCATAAGAATCGGCCAAAACCGGAATAAGCACTGCACGCTTCATGAGCCCATTCTAAGCAATCTGAACATTGAATCCAGTCTTCAATAACAGTAAGTTATATTTGCTAGTTTAAAAAATTTTTTTGTTAATATTACCTTATTTTTTATGCTTTTTGCCAAATCCGGTGAGTTTAATTTTTATTTTACACTTTTATTCTATTTTGGCTGTCCCATCTAGCCCGGTTNAAAACTCGTAAAATATACGAAATCAAAAATGGAAGAAGAAAAAAAAGAATTTGCAAGCAAATTTGCCAAAAATGGAAGTTGTATGCTAGAACTAAAAAGAAAAATTAAGAACGTACGATGCTACACAATAACAATATTTTACCTACAATATTAAATTAAACATACAGTCGGACTTCTATTTAACGAACTTGCTAAATTCCGATTAGTTCATTATATGGAAAATTTGCTAAATAGAAAAGCACCCTTTGAAATAATTAAACGACACAAAACAGGTTTTAAATTCATAAGCACTTGACATAATTAAAATAGCAATTAATACACTTTTATCTCGTAAACGGGGATGCCCGGACAAGATGGACCGCTTAAGGAAACTTGGTTTAAAAAATAGTAAACTGGAGCAAGTTTATATCTTTTATATTGTACACATTTGATGGGAACATTGCTCTTACATATCTCATACAGAAAATAAATAAAAAATAAAGTTCAATAATAATAACTTAACATAAACAAAAATAACATTGTCCCACCTTGCCCGGGCTACCCGGGAAAGATGGGACACATAATTATATTATATACACAGAAATTAATATCTGAATAAGAGGATAATCGACAAAAAAACGTTCCTAAACATCACAGTTACTGCATAAGAAGCGGCCAAAACCAGAATAAGCACAGCACGCTTCATGAGCCCATTCTAAGCAATCTGAACATTGAATCCAGTCTTCAGTAACATTAGGTTATATTTGCTAGTTTATATATATTTTTTTGTTAATATTACCTTATTTTTTATGCTTTTTGCCAAATCCGGTGAGTTTAATTTTTATTTTACACTTTTATTCTATTTTGGCTGTCCCATCTTGCCCGGATGGTATATTTTTTAAAAAAATTATCTGCAAATTTGTTTAAGCAAATAAATTTTAATTTTCACTACTTATTATGTTTGTACAATAATAACACTACAATGCCACAAATTATTATGTATTAAACAAATAATAATAGCATACAAACCTGGAAAAATATTTTAACGCGTTGTAAGAAAAACAAAACAATTGCTTGCATTTCCTTAACACCTTGTGAACTGACGAAAAAATTTTTGCCTTTTTCAACTAATTAAAGCTACATTTATGTGAATTATAGTTGTATTTAAATTAATTTTAAACATATTGCATGCGTTCCACATGCATTACTATATGTGTTCTTAAGTTTAATTGCTACTGATAAAAACCGTTAATTTTGTCTGAGTTTTTCGTTTGAAATGCAAACAAAAAATGGAAAAGGATTTTACTGCTTTCTCTAAAAGTGGCTTCCTTAAAATCATTTCAAGGTCATTTCCCCCTTGAAATACGTTAACTAGTTTGAAATGTTCAGAAATATTTTGGGAAATACAGAAAGAGTAGATCTCAGAAAAAAGTTCATTAAATAGAAAATTTACTTCGCTATTTGGAAGTTATTTTACGAAGAAATTTTCTAAATGTTTTTGGTTCATCAAATAGAAATTCGTTAAATAGAAGTCCGACTGTACTTATTAAAATCTTAAATAGGTAAATTTAAAAACGAGTTTTGGCAGCCTATCTTTGCCAGAGAAAAGATTATTGTAACAAGTAAAAATATTTAAAAACACTTGAAACACCAAATTTTGATGTCTAATTACTATTTATTAATTAAAACGGAAAAAACAGAAATATTAAATTATTTTCCGTCATACCTCCTATTTATCCGAAATGAGAAGATAGTATTATGTAATAATTTAATGTCAGAATAAAAAAAGAGCTATATCCTCATTGAAAATGATTGATTCTAAACTCCTCCATTCCAACCGTTTGCCAATGATATATTTTTTCGTTCTTTAATGGTACGTAAACATTCGTTCTATCTAATGAAGATTGAAAATAATATTCCCATGACACTCTTTAGAAACAAAAAAAAAGAAAGACTACTAAATGTTTTCCTTTATAATTCTATTTTTCTTTTTGAGAATATATTATCTTGTTTTTCCGAAAAATCAATGACTCATGAGTTATAATTTGGATTCTTTTTAATGTAATCACAGATAAATAATACTCATTTTATCTGACTAAAACCCGTGTAATAAATACTTCCACTTTAATTTTGGAAGAATTATTTTTAAGAAAAGTAGAAGTAGCACAAAATATAGTTACTTTTAGAAAAACTGAGTTAAATTTTCTTAAAATGTGATGAGCTACTTTATTATGTAAGTAAATGTTTTGTTTAATATTTATTCATTTCAAAAATAAGAGTTTAATTTGAAAGGCATCATGTTTCAGGCATCATATAACATTAAATTATAAATAAATGTACTATATTACCATCTTAAATTGCTATTTTTAGTTCTGTATAGTAAATCAAAGCATTTAAACATTAATGCATTCATTCTAATTCGTTCATAGATTATGGAATACTTAAAATGTATTTTTGTACCCTTATTTAAATATTATATACTTACAGTTAAGTTTAATAGTACTAAATTGTTTTATCTGTTTGATTAACGATGTATTTATTCTAATCTATTCACAAGTACGAGATATTTATTATGTTTTTTTTACTCCCATTTAAATATTTTTCAGATATAAGGTACCAAAACTGCTCAGAATGTAAATAAATCTCACAAACGCTGTTTTGAACAAAGGCCAAATATGGGTAAAATAATTATCTTCAGTATCAGAATATTTTAAAATTCGTTTACAACTTTTTCACATACAATGTTATTGGTGTTCATGTAATGTATTTTTTTAAAATAATAAGTGGAGGAAATTACATATCTGATTGACTTATGCATAACTAATAAAGTTCTGTTAATTATATTTTACATTTTGATAATTGTTTATACATAATTATCGTTCTCAGTCAACTCTACGTAAGGAAAAATTGTTATTCACATCAAATTAACACAGAAAAATTCTTATATTTTTTGCGATCGTGTAAAAAACTTTTTAATACAGCAAAGAAGTAAATTTTACTTATGCTGAAATATGAGGGAAAAAAATACAAACCTATTGTATTATATACAATCTTGACAATTTAACTTAAAACATTTTAGCAGTTAACTCAGATTCAAATATCATGAACTGAAAAATATTTAGAAACAAAATAAAATCAATAAAAAAATCTGAATTTTAATATTTTAAGGGTTACCGCTTTAAATTTGCCAGATAAATTAATAGTATTCTCTTATTACCAGTTTCCTTATCAAAAGACGATGAAATGTGCTCATTAGTGGTTGCAAAGTATTATTTAAATAGGAGGAAAAAACCGCTAATGGAATTTTAAGTTAGGAAACTGAGATTAAAAATATTGAAACCTGTTTGTTGCAGAATAAATAGATAGGAGTTGCAGAATAAATAGATAAGTGTATCTTTAGAAATACTTCCTAATTTGTTCGGAAAACAAACTGTTTTTTAATGCTTTGCATCTCGCCTTCTTCACTGGCGATTCAGATTAACTTGGTAGCGTGTTGTTCTTTTTCAGTTAGATAATTGTTTGCAACCCCTGTTATGTATGTCCCCTTCGCTTATTTTTTCTGCATTTAGAGTAGGTGATTTAAAAACACCCTACATAAAAAAGGACTATTCTTTATAGTTCAAAGGAGCTTATTTTCTCAAAAAGAAATGTTCATATTTCTTTTAAAGATGATAAGGTCCTTTTTAAAATATAAATGATCCCTTTTCTGAAATATTTCACCCACTTTTCTCGTTTTAGTTACATGTTAGATAACTCTAGAAACATTTGAGATGAGAGTGTTGCTTTTTTAATGCCTGAAATCTCTGGATTTTCTATATTTTAAAAAGTTTATATCAAATAATTTCACAATGTTTAATCAAAGTTGACACATTTATCATATTTTTTTCTTTATGTTTTTCATTATAAAATACTATGATTATTCTAGCACATTGTTTCCTCATTTTTGCAAAGCTTGAATTTTTATTTAATTCTAAATTTTACTTCGAATTTTCTTATTACTTTAAAATACTTTATAAGGAAGAGCGTGGCAATAATACTGCTTTTAAATTTTGCTTAATTTTTGTTAATTTAATATTATTATTATACAAGAAAGAATAAAATTTCAAAGCAAGTTTTTTTTTCTTTAATTAATAACCAAATTATCAATTTTGAAAAAACGTTGAATTTTTTTTTTCTTTCTTAATTGAGAAAATAAGAACACAAAAAATAGAGCTTTTACTTTTAAGGAAAAAATTATCATAATGCTCTCTTGAAATGTCTCAAACTTATCTCTGTTAAAAAACTTTTTTATTTAACATAAGAACATACTATGATTTGACATCCAATGTAAAGGAATGAGGAAAACTAAACGTTGCATAAGAAGTTTCTTTTGACAAATGATGCAATTAATTTAATAAGTCTCTTATTTATAATTTATTTGTTTGTTACTCGTCTTTATCCGTTACTTGTTTCCTTTTCTATGAAATGAAAAAATGCACTGAATGACTTTCTATTCAACGCTTATGAAGAAAAAATGACAAGTTTTAGTTTGTTAAAATAGCCGTACTATTTTTTCAGAGTTTAATATTAAATTAGATGACTTATGAAGAATATTCCAATATTTACGTAAGTTTTGCGTGTTTTATTTACTTGTTGTTTATTACTCATTAGAAAGTACGGCTTTGAAGCCATTTTCAAGTTGAAGAACGCACAAACATACATCTAAGATTACGGCGGGATTCCAACACGCTTCTTCCAAGCTATAGAGCAGGGGTGGCGAACCTTTATACACCAACGTGCCATTTTTTCTAAAAAAATTGTTTAATGAAATTACAGACGTGCCGTCAAATAATTTTGACTTCATTATTATTGGGAAAATAATAATACTAAATACTATCAACTCAAAACTCTTTATTTGCATTGAAAAGAAAATATATTTTGCAATGTCTTAGTTATACGCGTAATTCAACTTAAAGTAGCATCAGTGGGACTTCTGTTATTGCAGATTAAATGACAAAAAACTTATAGGTTGTAAGACATTGGTTTAAGCAGGACTGTTGATTTTTTTGCTAGTTATTTATTGCTTGCTTGTTTTTTATGGTTATTAATTATTTTTTAGCATTAATTGTTAGTTTTTTTTATTAATAATTGTTTATTATTTTGTTTTTTTTGTGAATTTTAATTTAATTGTTACATATGCTTCATAGTGTGTGACATTTGTGTAATAACAATTCGTAGTGCAATAACGATTGTGATCGGTGACGTGCCCAAAATATTGTGTCGCGTGCCATAAATGGCACGGTTGCCATTGGTTTGGCATGCCTGCTATAGAGTGCTATGCGCCGTTAGTGATAAAAAAAATGACCAATGTGAAAATAACGGGTGTGGCAACTAACAAGTTTAAGATATTGAAAATGGAGCGCCACATGAAAAAACGTATTTTCATGTATGAGCAATATTCAGTCTTTTCCTGATAATGTTATTTCCCGTATAAGTGATCATAATAAGCTAGCTGCCCAGATCATTTTATTTAACATAGTTAGACACCATCCTTGTTTTGAAGTATAAGCTTCATACCTACTAAACCGCAACCACCTTAAAGAATTGAAATTGAATAGGGTGTCAACGAAAGTCAGTTATATTTACGCAGATTATTCATTAAAAATTCCGTCAAATGAGGGCTAGATTCTACCAAAAACCATAACGAAAACGTTTTCATTATTTGATATTAAATGTGATTTAAATAAGCAGTGAAAACTTCTCCCTATCTATAACAATCTATTGTGGAAAATTAACATTAGTTCTCATTAATTAATGACATCTATTTAACGTCGTTACCTTTTATTTAATGTGTTAACATAAATCAAGATGAGTATTTTACCTTAATTAAAATAAATCGCTTTGTTAGGGATGACATATTTTAATCAGTACTACCTGCATCAGACAATCATTTCCTATTGTTGTCTGAAACCATTCCTTTTGGCAATGAAATACATTAGTTTTCACCCCAAGGCCACTTCAGCCTTCAAAATTCTGTTCGAAATATTAACGACCAAGATACCGTGTAGTTACAACCTATTTTACCAAATCAAGCATGCAACTAAAATCTTATAAAATAATCATTTCATTTTACTACCAACGAAAACTAGCACGTCCTATAAAAAATGACCTCTTTTTTACCCACCACAACTAGGACAAATGTGTTCTAATAGCTGCGCATCTTTTGGGACTTAAAAGGGCCGATAAAAATCGATGGTGGACCCTCTCGGCTATAACAATTAAACGAACGTGACTTAGAACAAATCGCAGTGAAGTGAAAAAGAAGGGATTATTATTTTTCTTCTTTGGAGGAAACGGATCGCTAGTTATATTATCCTTTTCCTTGGAACTGTCACATGAGTCCATTCCATTGTGTGGCCTTTTGTAAGATGACAAATCAAGGTATTAGTTAATTACGTTTTGATGTATGCTTCGATACATATAGATTTGGCAATGAAAGAAATAGATTGTGTGATTCTTTTCATTGAATCGTAAATATCGAAAACTAGACTAATAGTGTTGTTTCCCCTTTTAATTACAACATTCACTCTGAATTTGCTCATTATTTTGCCACTGAAAAAAAAAGTATAATCACAACTACTGGAATATGGTAAAATTTACTGTGTTTCTGACTCTATGGGAACACCGAAAAAAAATCGTTAATTTTGGCCGAAGTGCTTTAGTGAAGATTTTGTGAAAATTAACATTAAAATATGGTTTTATAATATGTGTTAGAATTTCATAAATGTGGTAAAAGCTGGTAATTTTATCATGATGCATTAGAGCAGGGTTTTCCAAACTTACGACTTTTGTGTACCCTTTCAAAATTTTTCACAACGCTGTGTACCTCTTATAAAAAAATGAATGTATTTTGTACTATAAAAAAACTGCACAAAAGTTAAAAATCACAACTGGCTGTTGACACCACTAATTATTAACAAAAAATAGCCACTAGTAAAATATGTAATCGTAAATTTTTATGGCTAGTTTTGTTTTTAAATAAAATTTTTTGAAATTTTCGTTTGGTGTAAGATATTTTGCACAAGAACGCGTATCCCCGCTAAAATGTTCCCGTACCCCTGGGGGTACACGTACCACACTTTGGGAAACACTGCATTAGAGTATGCATAAAAAAAGATTCATTCCGTTAAATTTTCTCTTCTATTATGTAGTTTTTACTGAATGCGTGGTAAGAACTATAATTTTGATAACCAGAATTTCCGGTAAACTGCTACCATTTGAATGGAAAAATTACTAAATGAATGGTTTTAATACGGTATATTTTGGTTTTAATAACCAGAATTATGATTTTTTTTATTACCATAAATGCCATTACAATACAGTGCGGTAATTTTACCAGGCCTCCATGGTTGCTAATCTTTAATTAACAAAATATAACTCTTAATTAAACTTCCCTTCCTTAAATTTTAAATCTTTTTAAAGTCTTGTGTTATTAAATGATATCCTTAGATTTTTGGATATACTATTTCTTCACTTGAATGTTAATAATGACACGAGTTTAGCTCAAAACCGACATCGATCTCCAGATAAAGTTATTATGTTAAAATTATTTTCAAGCTTATTGTTGCGAGCCGTGATGACTCAGAGGATAGAGCACTCGCCTCCCAATGAGGTGATCTGGGTTCAAATCCCAGCGGTGG